ATGTACACGGGTGGTACCGGCTTGTATCTCGTGTGAGATTTGAGTTCTTGTGATCTGGTGGGTGAACGTCGGGATGACTTTACAGTCAAAATCAAATGAGCGGTGAGGGGGAGAAGAGCGTTCTGTCAAAACAATTTTACCGTAGACTCAATTTTAACGACCAATCTGCAGCGTTGTATTTATTATAAATAAGAATCCAAAAATAGAATATAAATACACACATACACTCGATTAAATTTTCTGGACATATATGCGACGCATGAACGAAAACGATCTATTGTAAAAGATATGAATTGGAACTGCCTGTGACGTGTTGTCTGGGCGCCGTTTCGTCCTACAGTCAAATACAGAAACAAAAACTGATTTATTTTCTTATGCTACGACCTGGTTGTTCATGCATTTCGTATTTACTTCTTGTTTCATCCCTTAGAAAACACAAGTCTTTGCCGTACGATCAAAAGAAAAATGTCCACATAGTAGTAACCAACATCGTTCTGGCGTTCCTAAAAAAACACTGCATTGCTTAGTAGCAAATAATCACGGTAGTGCAATCCGACCATGCTACGTTTCACAATTATTATTATTACTTGGCAGTGATTATTAATACAGTACAAAAAGAAAACTCGTTGAATTGTTCTGAAATGCAAGTAAATTTCAATTTAGTTTCATCGATTCTGGTCGCATGCAAATGCTCGACACCTTATAGGTCAAATCGCTAATCAGCCAGTCAAAATACTCGGTGATGCCAACGTGTTCAAATTACCAAAACGGAGGAGATTTGCCGATGTTCCAGCTCGATCTTTTACCTATGGTTTTGATGGGAAGACGGCACGTTTTTGTTTTTTGAAATCAAAACATTAGTTGTTTTCGATGATAAACTGACCATTTGAAGACATTTTCGAATCGAAGCTTTACCCATTCACGCTAACCACAATAAACGTCGTACTGTTGAATAGGCGTCAATGACTACGGTAAAATTCGTAAGATTGTGGGTCAGGAGTGAGTGTTGTATTGACTTGGGTATTGTGTTTTACATTCCAACAGGAAATTTTTGCGTGGTTTTATTTTCGCGCTTTTGGACTCACCGCGAAATTTAAACCACGCGAATGATTTCTACTTCTACATTTAATTTATTGCAATGGATATCCGAAAGCCTGTAACCTAATGTTATTGACATTGTTTACAGTCTTACATCGTCATGTCCCAGTGTTACCGATGATTAGACCATGGAGGTGGTTAGACAGGTGGTCAGTCAGTTCGCCCCAATGCACATTCGCCCCAGACCAGTTCGCCCCAAAGTCAGTTCGCCCCAAAGTCGGTTCGCCCCAAGTTTACTGGTGTTCGTTTTCGCGGTTATGCGTGCAAGGAAATGTGGTTTTGAAATATTTTAAAAATTATACTTAAGTAAAAACCACATCGAAGGAGGCTGATCGCCGCGATTGTAGCATATCGCCCGAAGAGTCGAATCGGTGTCGTGCCATATGCGTCGTGATAGCGATACTTTGCCTTTTTTTGCCATGCGCTGTGATAGCGATTTTTTGCCCCTTTTCGATTGACTTATCTCCCCTGCTTGCCTTACAAACATGAATGAACCAACCAATCAATCGGTGTTGTGTGGTTTCGGCGTTCCAGTTTTAACGCACGGATTAAAAATACGGTGCCGCCATCTTGAACGTTCCATTCAAAAGGGGGTGGTGTGTGTCACAAGGACTGTGGTCACGCTAAAGGGGTCACGAGACTTGTTATAATTATATATATATATTTGTTTAGTTTTCAGAAGTGAAGAATTGTTATCAAGGGTTTATGAATGCAAGAA